AAGGAGAAAGAGAGATGAAGGGAGGGAGTGAAAGAATGAAAGAGGGAGAGAAAGAGACAGAGAGAGAATACAGGTTTGTGACTGAGGAGGTTGAAAAAGTTGTACATTCTCCTTTCTCATGAGAGACCTTTTCATGACTCTGCTGTTTCTGGCCTAGGTTGTACTTTTATGATACGCTTGAGCGACTTTGCCCCCCCTCAGCAATAAACTTAATAGATTTCACAAGACAACAAGATTTGTTGCCCTCTGAAGGAGGATTTCCGTGACTGGCTTGCTGTTTGTAGTTCAACTGTGTGCTTGCGCTAGTAGTGTGCTTTATAACTTGAGGACTGGCCAGTTGTTTCATTCAAAATAAGCGTCTGGAGGTGTAAAATCTATAGTATATAGAGGTAGAAAAAAATATGTAGCAGCCAGAGTCTCTTTAAAAACATGTCAGATACAATGTGTTGAGATCAAACATTGGTCCTTTGAATGAATCATAGGCCTATGTCACTCAGAGCACTTTTTGTTTGTTTGCAGATTTGCTTTGAAATAATTCTGTTGGCAGAAAAATCTATTTGTACTTCTGTGAATGGAATGCTGTAAAAGGTGTAACTGAACTGGATTTTTCACACTACAATTAATAATGGGTGTCATTGTTTTCATTTGATTTAAAACACCAATTATTTTCTCATAGATTTGTCTAAAATACTGTTATTAGAATTATCTTTTTGCACGTCTGTAGTTTAGATGCTGTGGATGGTGCAACTGTACTGTGTTCAGGTGAAGTTTCATACTGCAGTCTTTGAGTAATGACTGTCTTTGCATTCATAAGTATTCTGTTGTGATGTAATATATTTGTCTGTGGATAATGACAAACTGATGGTTTTTTTTCCTCAAACCTGACATCATCTATGAACCAGTCTTTTTATATTCTCTCTCGTCACAGTCTCATGAGGTAATGAAAGATACGCCATGAAAGGGGGCCAATACAAGATGTTTCAAGAATTCTCTTCCCCTGCTCAACATGGCCGCCCGTTTAGGAAGACGAATCGGATGGTTTACCTGGTGGTGGCCATCCTCCTCATTGGCGTCATGCTCACAATGCTCAACATCTACGAGTTGCACAAGATGAGGCTGGACCATGAGTAAGTTGCTCATTTTTATCTACTACTTACTAGAGTGGGTTGTCGGCGGGTGCTTTGGTGTGGTTTGCTCTTTTTTTGTTTCCTATCAAACATCTATCGTCCTTATCTCTATTCTTTCTTTTTTTTGTGTTTGTTACTCTCTTTTTACTCTTCTCATCTTATGCACTTATACGACCTTATTGTGTTGCGAGTGCCATAAAACTCGTACTGAAACTAAATCACTGGCTAATGAGACTATAATGTGGGCTTACAAATCTATAAAGTTGTCTTTCATGTGAGTTTTTTAATATCTTAGCATCCAATCACCTTTTTAATTTTCAAAGGATGAATTTGATATGTGAAGGAGTGAGAAAGTACGAGTCAAAACTATGCTTGTTGGTGGTTGGTGCGTGCTCTGGTGTGGTTTCCTCCTTCTTTCCTATCAAACATGTATTGTCTTTACCTCTCCTCTTATTTTCTTTGTATGTTACTCTCTAGCCGCACTTATGATCTTCAGCACTTGTATGACCTACTTCTTGGGATTAAAGTGCTGTAAAACTCTTACTAAAACTAAAACTATGCTTTCCTTCTTCATGAAGAAACCTTCAGTGGTCAGAGCATAGACTTTCAACTGGAGTTCATCTATAAAACTAGGTTATGTATTTCATGCTTCAAGTTCAAATTTGTCCAGGACTTTACACTTAAAACTTTTTAAAGATGATCCCTACTGTCAATTTCTCTGATATAATATGCAAAAGGTCTTCTCAGTATGTTAGTTTTTTTAAAGGCTGTAACATAACAGCTTGCTTTATGCTTCTCAGGAAGTTAAAAGATTGTTTCAGAATGCTATCTGGTCGGTGGGGGTAATAATATATATAGATTTTAAAGCGTGTAGAACTTGCTGTTGAGCGGGAATTTGCACTATACAAATGCTATCGATCTATCTATCTATTATTATTATTATTATTATATTATTATTATTTTTTATAAGTTCAGGTTGAAGGCAAATATCAGTTTGTGTTTATTCTTGTTTATTGCCATTGAATGAAAAGAGAATGCATTACTGTTTTATTCAAGTTGTTTTAGCTTTTCTAAAAATGAAATATAATACAATCTATCAGACTGGGCAGTCGAGGGAGAATGTAACGTTTTGTATCTTGTCTTGCATTTGATTTAGAGGCTTTTGAATATATATATAGTATAGAGGCCTATTGTAAGCTAAAAATATTCTTTCATTGTCGTGTGTTGCTAGTCTTTTAATAGAAAACTGAATGTTAGAAAAAAATTGAAACCTCTCACTTGTTGGTTTATGTAATAATTTTGAAAGTTATCAGTTCTGAGAGTTATTTTTTAAAAATGTATGGTTTATTCAGTAAATGTGATTTAGTGTAGTGCTGGAATAAGATTTTGACTTCAACTATTTTCTTATCTCTTCATAATTCACAGAAGACATCATGATGCTCTTGTGAAGATACCAGAGACGGAGGCCAAGGGCAGTGATCAAACTTACCCTCTGAACGCTGCCCCTATTGTGTGGCTTCAGGGCAGTCCAAAGTCTAAGAACAACGGCCCCACAGGATATCTGAAACACGTCTTTAGAGTTTTTGAAAAGATTGGGTTTTCTATCGGTGAGAGACTGTCTGATTGGCTGGTTATGTGGAGCCATGACTACCCATTTGTTACGTATTCGAAAGATCTGAAGAACTTGAAGCCATATCAGAAGGTAAACCATTTCCCTGGCTCAGGCTTTGTCACAAACAAAGCCAGTCTGGCTCAGTCCAAGCTGGATTTTATACCAAAAGCATTTGAGATACCAGCAAAGAAAAAAGAATTTCTAGAGTATGCAGGCAAACACAAAAACACGAGCTGGGTACAAAAGAGTAACAAACACAGAGGTATTCGGATCAAGAAAGTGGAGGAGCTCGATTTCTCCAAAGATGGAACATTCATCCAAGAGTATGTCTCTAATCCGTTGCTGATCGATGGCAGGAAGTTTGACATTGGTATCTACACAGTCCTCACTTCCATCAGCCCTCTCAGAGTGTATTTTATTGGAGGAGATGCATTGTTCAGGTTTTGTCCCCTGGAGTATTTTCCTTTTGATGATTCGATCCCTGACAAGTATGTCATAGGTGATGACTACCTACCCCTGTGGAAGGTGGCATCATTAGAGGAATTCTTTGTGAAGAATGGCTACACATTCAAAAATTCTTTTGATGCATATTTGAGGTCCATTGGAAAAGACCCTTTCAAGCTGTGGGAAAAGATGTACTCTGCTATTCGACAAGTGTTCTTGATGAAGGAGAAAGACCTGATCAAGGCTTCCCTCAGGTATACTTCGAGAAGAAATTTTTTTGAGATGGTTCGTTTTGATTTTGTCGTAGATGATCGTCTGAATGTTTTCTTAATGGAAGCAAACATGTCACCTAATCTTTCTTCTGACCATTTCCCCCCAAATGCCAGACTGTATGAGCATGTGTTGTACAACCTGTTCGGTCTTGTTGGGGTCACACACTACACCTCTTCCTCGAGCAAAAAGAAAATGGCTTATCAAGACCCGGCTTTAGTCTCCTCGGCAGACATTCACGTCTTTCCCGATTTTTGTCATGGAGATGACTGCTCAAACAACTGCTCTAAGTTCAAATGTAAGCTTTGTCGGGGATGTATAACAAGAGATTTTGAAATTGATCTAAAGTTAGCTTTTTTGGAGCATCAACGTAGGGGGTCGGCCCGAAGGGTTTTCCCTCCCCCAATGAATCAGTCTGAGGCTTTAGCATGGACTCCCGACTCCACCGTTCTTGATAAGTACAATGGCTCTAACAGACTGATGTTCATGTGGTTTATTGGAAAATGCAGACTGGATGTGGGCTGGTGTCACTAATTTCTAAAGAGAGCATTCACCACAGTAAACATCATACCTAATGAAGGGTGCACACAGTTTGATTCATCAAAGATGGAGAAGCTAAAACGTCCTGTGAAATTGTTTACTGTTGAATGTCAGTCAAAGGGAGGAGCGACCCTTGATTTTCCAGATTTTGGGTCAGGCTATGCAAATTTTATGTTGCCTGATTTTTGAAGATCAACCAGTTTTTGTCTAAAAATAGCATGGATACAATTGAGAAAGTCTTTATAACTTTATTCTCCTGGTAAATTGCCTTTGAAAACATGAGGATGGATTAATATAGTGAATTTTCACAATAATTGTCGTTTTTCTCAAAATGTCATATTTTTGCAGTTTTTTCCCTACTCCTTCCTTAGTTTCCATCCTTTTGACATGAAACTTTCAGGACACATAGATGACAAGACTGCCATTAATGTAACAGAGAGATATTTGCGAAAAAATAACACTTTTCCATTGGCAAGCGATTAAGCAACCTAAATTTAGAAAAAGTTTTTTATACTTTGGGAAAATTCTCATTTTTTTTCTTTTGCACTTATTGAAAAAAAACCTTGCTGTTATTCTGTTCTGATAGGGTCTGATTCAGGTATACTCTCACCAAATTTGGTCAGTAAAATAAGAAAGCCATAGGGATTTGAAATTCATTGTTTATTTGCAAGATGGCGGCCGTTTCCATAGCAACCGCTGTAGCTATGCCAAAATGAAATTGCATATGAAGAGATTTTACTGTCTAACTTATATGTGTGTACTTAGATTTTATCTTGGGCAACTAACATAGAAAATGGTCCTCAAGGGAAGCTCTTCCCGTTAAAACAACAAGGTACATCGAGGCAATATTGAAAACTTTTCATTAATTGAATAAAATGGACATCATGTGCTCGCTTCAATAGCAGCAACTTGTGGTGCTAGATTTGTTCTACAGTACTGCTGTTGAATACTGGTAATTATACTCAGTTTCACTTCTTTTTTTGTACAGTCATAGAGTCAATTTTTTTGTTGCATCTTTACCATTGTGTTCTTTAGTTTTCCTACATTTGTCAAACTGAGTCGGTGCTTCTGTGGGTTTTGCTCATTCATTTTTCCCAATTGTTTGTTTATTTTTATGGTATATATATATCTATATGTGCATATATTATTCATTAGTTCCTTTCCTTTTAAAACTTTTTGTAACTGACGCACAGATAGATAGAGCTGTTGCCAAATAAGAATGACCTAATCTCCCCTTGGATAATTTATTATGAGATGATAGCATTTTCAAGAGGTCAGATCTCTTAAACTCTGAAAGAAATTTGTATTTTTTTACAATAAGAGTTACACTAAGTTACAGTATAACACGAATAGGTCGAATTCGTTGGGACCGGCCTCAGTAGTTCGAGGGATCCGTAGTTCGAGGGATACGTGAACTGTGTTATTAGTTTATGGCGTCGTCTGTATCAGAGAAAGAAGGGAAGCAACAAAGATTTCTACTTTAGGGGCCAAAAAATAGATTGTGCGATGCACAACCCTTCCTCTCGCCTGTTCCACACAAGCCTAGCTAGGCCTAGGGTCTTGGCACGCGTGTCGAGCGGCGCGCTAAAAATAGCACAGCTAGCTGCTTCTGTGAAGGGTGAAAGTGGTATTTTATCGACCTTGCCTTTTTCCGTTGAAAAAAAAATTATTTTGTCTCAAGTGCGCCTCAAAGGACATAAAGACCTATATGGCTGCGTAATTCGTTCGACTGTTCGGTGTTTGTCTTCGAGCTTTGCAAAATTTTCTTATAAAAATAAAAAATGAAAAAAAAGGGCCCGTAGGCACAGTTCGACGGATGCATGATCTTGAGTCTTCTGTGTTTGACCTATCCGTGTTAAACTAAACTGTATTTTGAATAAATACTTTTCATGATAGAGTTAAAATTTTTCTGCAAATGAAATTTTGAGCTTATAGTTCGACATAAAAAAAAAAAAAGAATCACTGAAGACTGTGAAAAGGAGATAACACCCTGATGTGTGGTATACAGGTTTTTACAAATATATATGGCAGAGCGTCATGTATATATAACATTCATTGTTGGTGCTGTGTTCTTTGTTTCATCAAAACTAATAAATAAATCCATTCCACAAATGAACATTTTTTTTTAAAGACAAGCAGAGAAAAGCTCAAAATATTGAATTTCAATGCATGATGAATATTCCTTGCAGGACCTTGGGGTGCTTAAAGTTTTCATTAATTACTTTTATTTATTTTTTAAGTCGTTTGTTGTTGTTCTTTTTTTTGGGGTTTTTTTTGTTTTTTTTTTTGTTTTTGTTTTTTTTTTTTTTTTTTTTTTTTTTTTTTTTTTTTTTTTTTTTTTTTTTTTTTTTTTGGGGGGGGGGGGGGGAATCATTCATTCTTCTTTTTATTTTGTAAAAATTGTTCGTTTATTGTCAGTTTAGTTGAAGGTCTGCCGAACTACATCGGCCTACTGAAAGTCCTACCCGATTGACCACAGTGTGCTGCGAAGCGCAGATCTCTCTTCATTGGTTATAGATAATAACAATAGTGCCAGGGGTATTGAGACAAAAGGTGATGGGGGTTCCACAATTGCGGTGTGTGAATGGATTGCTTCATTTTGCCATGTCGTTTAGATCAAAAGAATTTTTGGGAGGTAAAGATTATGATTAACAAGTAATTTGCATCAACAAGTGACCCCCCCCCTCCCCACATACCTGTATACGTGCAAAGGGAAGGTGTAAACTAATCCTTATCCTTGTCACAAATCCCAAGCCTGTACAAACTGATTAACCTTCAACTTCAAGTAATCCAGAAACATTGCGGTAGACCTTCATCTAAACTGGCAGAGTTCAATTTTTAAAAACTTAAACTTTGAAGTGAATCTAAAAATGGAATTGATGTCTGTCCATCAAAGCATGAGCACATTCTTCTAATTCATGTGTGATAATTTTTGTCATCGAAGTTCTTTTCTATGGAATTTATTTCAGAATGAGTACGTTTACAAATAGTTGAGATTGACATTCATGTGTATAGTGTATAACATACATTATATTGTTATAAAGGGACACAAAATCCTTTGAGAAAGACGCCTTCAATATATTACATTTACTCTTGATACGTGCAGAAGATCAAAACCACAGTGTTGTAACTATGGGATTTAATATTTATCTCAGAATCTCACTACATTGCCATTTTTTCCCCCACTTCACAGCTTAATACTCTACTTTACAGCTGTTGAGCCATGCAAACAAACTGATAGGTTGTACTTACTCTGCACAGTGCAGTGCAGTGCAGTAGGTACATAAATATCAGCAAAGACTGCGTTATACCGAGCTACTATTTTTTGGTATTGTTTTGTACTCCGTAAGTTTGAGTAGGGTACAAGTAAACAGCTGCCAAAGAGCAAGATGGTAGTTTTCAATTCAATAAACTATTCAATGGATGTGAAAAGTCAGTTTTGATGTGAGTGTGTGTGTAATAATATGATTTTTGGAAATGCAAGGCTTGTATGGTGGGATTTTGTTTTGTTTTTTGCCAGTTAGCATTATATGACAAGTAATGTAACCACATTTTGGAACGTATTCTGTTTATTATTTATGGCTATTGCAGTTTATTATGAATCAAAGGTGATAGTGAGAGTAGTATGTTGTTTTTTTCTTGCTAAATCCAAAGACAAAGAACAAAATGTGATACTACGAGTTACTACAACATATTTTGATTCCTCCATTTTTTGTTTCATCTGAATTGATAAACAGCAAACTTCTTTTTATTTCACAACAGTTTTTCACAATTACTTTTGTTTTAGGCATTACTACACGCTGCGCGAAAAGGAACACTGAACGTGTTTGTCTTTTGAATTGGGTTGTTTCCTGTTCTCTGCCTTACAACTGCAACAGGATATGTTATAATTTTCTAAAATTCTTTGAAAACAAATATTTGTTTACTTATAGCCTTGATTTATTAGGTTACGTTTTCAGAGAGTAAAATTAATGTAATTGTGTAAATATGCTTAAATCATATGTTACGGCGCAGTGGTATCATCAGGCGCTCGTCAATTTTTGGGCACGTGGAGTTATTGGTGCTGTCTGAAAGCTGATTTGTTTGCCTTGCTTTTGATGAAATATCCATCTATCTTGAATAGAACTTTAGATTTTTGTGATTGAAGGAAGTGAGGTCGCCTGGTTTCAGTGGTGAAGTTAGCGAAAAAATGGCCGCCAAAGTTTGGTAACTTTAACAGCTAAAGAGTACATGTAGTTGAAAACAGAAAAATGACATAATTTGTGCCTTTAACTTTAATCATTGTTTTTAAGTAAAATTCACATGGAAATGTGTTTTTATATGGACATAAAAGAGGTTGAGCCAAAAAAGGAAAATTTGATAAAAATGTCCAAACTGGCAGGTTAAAATTAAAAATAAAATGCCTGTTTCTCCCATTTCTGTATATTTCGACAAGCGCCCGAGTTCACCTCGCTGCCTCACATAAAATAGAAAAGTGTATTGGTGTTTTGTAGTAATAGTAAAAGTAGCTGGCATTTGGCTTAAGAGATCTGTCCCCATTGTTTTATGCAAGAAAAATTCTAAAATTATGCAAACTGAGCCCAAAACTGTGAAATTATGCGATTCTGTTAATTTTAACAAAGAATGATAAAGGAAAATAATCAGAAATTATGCAAAAAATTATCAAATTTTGCTAAATTATGTGGGGTGCATAAAACGACGGGGACAGAGAGATGCAAGTGGATAGTTTTGCTTTTCAACTACAAAGACGTTTGGTGCTTTTTTTACAGTGTCCTGCAGGACTTAAGAGGCTTGAAGCCTTTGCCCTTTGAGTTTGAGGGGGAAATGGGGTTATTACCTATCTCATCCCTCCCCTCCACTCTGTTATGTTCTGAAATACATCAGAGAACGTGGGAGGAGGGGGGGTCCCTGTTTTTAAAGACGTAGCAACATGTGCATGTTTTTCTGAGAAATTCTTCTTTGTTGAGGTTGTGAAACTATTTGTACCGATATATTTACATCTCCACAGTCTACATTGATCTGATAGTTTTCTGCTGAATTTGATATTGAGTTTGGTCTCGTTTGCAGCAATAATTTTGCTGTTACCGTGCCCTGACATCTATCTTTAATGTTGGGAAATTGATATAAAGCAGGAAACTTTTTTGTTTTAAAAAATTTCTTTGATTTCAGCAATAAATCTTTGCGTACTATATAGTCACTTTTAAGCACAAGGGGGCTATCTGAAAAAACCCACTGTTTTGAGAAAATTGAAGGTAAAGTTTTTGCCCCTTGTTCAGTTTCTATAAAAGACAAGGAGAATTTTCTCTATAACAAACAAATATACACACTGATGAAACCAAACTTCTCATATATAGGTTGGGCAATGCCTACTTTTGGTGAAGGTCGAGATTTCTGGAAACCCCCAAAATCTGGGTTAGCCAGCTTGTCCTTATATGCGACCATATAATACTTTTATTTTATGATCTTTGCATATACAGTGTATATATATATATATTAGACTTGCATGTTGATATATATACTTGCAGATTTTGATCTTAACTTCTATACTGTGATTTATGGAGTCTACTTTTTTCAAGAACTTCTTTGTTTTGTACAAATGTTTTGTGAACTGTTTCGTAAATGAAACTGTGTAATTACTTTGAATCTCATATTTTGCCTTTACTCATTCTTAAAACAACGGCAGAGTGCAAAGTGCCTACTGCGGCCTGCCAGCTTCAGCAATAAGAGTAAGAGTGCTTCTTAATAGATGCATTTACTCATTTGTGTTACCTTGCCTTCCTGTTTTAAAACTTAGTTGAAGTTATTGAAGTGCTGTCCTGACATCTGGTGTTCCGATCTATTCCAGCTGTTTCATTTTTGTTGTTGTGCAATGTGTGGTTGGATAATTACTGAAAAAGGTTTTTGTTCACTCTTTTTTTTCTTATGTGCAAAGGAAGCATTATGAATATTATGATGCTATTTTCATTATATTTGTACAGTGTTGGTACCAAAGTTTTACTCCACGGTGAGGTAACAAAAGGATTCATTCATAAACTCATGTCTGTTTTTGTTTCATAGATGGTATAATGTCATTAAGCAGTATGAAAACACTTTGTTGAATTTTGTTTTATCTAGAATTTAACATGGCTGACAAATCGGTATTTAGTGATGGAAATAAAGTGTTAACAGAAATTTTACCATTTAAAGTTTACAAAGTCTGGTCAGAACGGTTGTGAATTTTGTTCATTTTTGGTGTGCTGTAAAAATGTGTTAGATCTAGTCTTCAGAAAAGAGCCCGTTATTTTGTCTTCAAAGCCCTTGAGCAAAACATGCTTTTTACAGCTTTCTTCTTTTTTGTAGGGTACAGACAGCAGTTACTTTGTAATGAATACAGGTTGATTTTTGTCATGACAGCAGAATAATTTTTCTGCTGTTGGACAAGGAAAATCTTTTCTTATTTATCATTATATCTTATGTAATAGTAATATTACTGTGTAGTTTTGGTTGTTGATGTATATCGAAATCAAGGATTGCGAGGTTTGTGAAATTGCTTGCTTATATAATCACACTGTTCCTGTTATCTTATAAAGCAAAGGTCTAATTCTTTCTCCTTTGGGGGGCCCTAGCACTGCCTAAGTGGTTCAGAAACCTTGTGCTACTGCCACCTTGTGGAAAAATACATTGGCGATCTTCCTGAAGTATAATGTAATTTCTTGCCTTTTTGTGTACTGCACCTTTTAAAAAAACAATAATTTAAAAAAAAGACTAAAATTGCTTGTGATATCTGGGCCAAGAAAAATTGGAAACAAGTTATGTTTTTTTCATCATGTGAAAATTTTGAGTAAAAAATAAGTCTCTAGACCAGACCATCTTGCCCCTTTTTTCTCTTTATTTGAAAAAAAAAAATCTAGAAATCCAGCTAATCAGATATGGCCAGCATAATGCTGGGTAGATGGCACTGAAAGTTACAAATATCAATTAATGCACCTATTCTTGGAAAGGATCCTTCTTCTGGTCTCCAGGAATGAAGGCTACAGTGGCACTACTGTACCATCTTTTATCTACAATCTGTCTCTCAGGGTAGAGGACTTGTTTTATTTTTAGGTCACTTTTCAAAACCTAAACTTTAAAAATTTCTTGGAATTTCAAAGTTTCTCCCCATGAGTCTCAAGCTAAAGTATTTCTGATCTTTTTCGTTTCCAGAAAAGTGTGTGAGAGGGAGTGTCTAATGAGACATCAATTATTAAATTAATCTAAAAGATTTCAAATAGTTGAAAACACATTCCTTAATAAAAAAATAAATAAGTAAGGACTTTGTCTACTGTCAAAAGTGTTACCCAGACTACGTCCTTATGAATAAAAAGGGCCATGTCTATTGTCAAAAGTGTTACCCAGACTACGTCCTTATGAATGTGCCGCGGGGTGTTAGTGTTAGGGAGTGACAAACGGCATTTTTTTCTGCACAAGTCATCAAGTCAGGGTGATGAATTATCGGGAAGGGGTGTGGGGGGGGGGGGGGGGGGGGGCGGGGGGGGGAGATAAAGAAAAAAAAGACAATTCTGAGTTCTGTGATGAAGTCATTGGCATAATGGCCATTATATGGCTGAAATCAAACAAGTTATACGTGTAGAAATTGTCAGGCTTCCCTGCAAATCCACACAAAAAAGGGGGAGAGAGAGAGGGAGTGAGGGAGAGAGAGAGGGTGTGAGGGAGAGAGAGAGGGTGTGTGGGTGTGTACATAATCAGGAATAGCCTACATGGTATACTGACTGCTTGGTGTAAGAGTCAGTCATACATACATTATGATACATGATTTTTCAAAATGTGTGTTCATTCTTTGTGTCATGACACGGTGGAATCGGGCGCTTGTCAATTTTTAGGCATATGATATGAAGCTATTGGTATGATAATTGTATAGCCTATTGATTTGCCTTGCTTTTTATAAAAGAATTACTCATCTATCTTGAGTACAAGTCAAGTTATTTGCATTTAAAGTTAAAGGAGGTAGGGGGTCACCTGATAGCAGAGAAAATGACCACCAAAGTTTGGTGACTCCCAAAGCTTGAGAGACCTTGGAAACTGCAAATTTATATTTTTGTGCCGTTGTTTTTCAGCAAAATCCAATGAGAATGTGTTTTTCAATGGACATTAAAGGTGTTCAGCCCAAAAAATAAAAATTTAAAACTACCCAGGGGGGAAGAAATGCCATTTTCTTCGACTTCATTATTTTGATGAGCGCGCTCATTTTGACATGTCGCAAGACAATACATGCTTGAACCAAGTTGTGAAAATGATATTTTTTTCTCTTTTTGATATTGTATCCGTATAATTTATTTGAGAATAACAATTTACACGCTTGTAGCACTTTGGAAATAAAAACATAGATTCCTGTTGTGCACAACTGAGAGTTCCACAATTTCTTTTCACTGTAGCCTACTATTTTACTCATTTCCTATTACTACGAGGGCTGTCCCACAGAAAACCGAAATTTGGCTGTAATTTGAAAACTATTCAATAATTTCACATTTTGTAAGCGCACACTTGTAAAACACTCATTTAGGAAGATATAAAGCGGGGTGAAGAATGGATAAAGATGAATGAGAGACAGCAAGGAGATTTTGGGAAGGTAGTGATTCCGCTGAACAGAGAATGTAGAGAGTGGCCGCATGGGGCGACAGATGCTGAAATACGACAACTGATTGAAGAAAACTCACAGCACGGAGATGTGGTTGTATACACGGAGGGTTCTGTTAAACGAGGGGAAAAATCTGGATGGGGCTTCTCACCAAGAGTGAGTGGCAGACTGGTGCAGGAACAGCAGAGAGCATTATATGATATGACATTATCTAGCATGAGAATGGAGATAGAGGCAATCACTCAGGCTCTGAAATGGGTCACAACAACTCGACAAGCACATGTGGTCTTTGGCACAGACTTTCAGAGCACTCTGAGGAAGATTGAGAGACCTCAGAGCTGAATGGACAGAGCTCCTGAAGAAGACAACACTGAAAAAGATCACGTGGATCTTCACCCCGGGCCAGGCTGGAGTCAAGGGCAATGAGCGGGCTGATGAGCTCGCTGGGAAAGCAAAACCTGAAGGGAAGCTGTGCCCTGACAAACCTGAAATTGTACGTTCAGTCAGGGAAAAACGAGAAAAAGAACAAGAAGAGTCGGAATACCATCATTTTGAGCGACTTCGTGAGCTTGGAATTGGATGGAGTGCCTGCAGGAGTTCTAGACTTAGTGGGAGGAGCAGAAGGCTATGGAATCAACCTTTGCTTGGAACCGTCAGCATCTACACACTTGGAGATGTGCTTCTTCAGGGGACGGAGCGCTTATGGGGATGCCCCTTGTGCAGTGATGTTGGTCCTTCACACAAGTAAACAAGTAAGAGTAGAAAAATAAAAAGAAGAAGAGATAAGGCCAATAGATGTTTGGAAGGAAATGAGCCACTTTAGAGGACCCTCCAACCACCCACCATCTTCATGCTTTCCACCTGAGCTCTGGACCAGTGAAGATTTGACGTCCAGGAGTGAGAGAGACAGAGAGAGAGAGAGAGAAGTTTTGACTGTACATTAAAATATATTTGTATCTCTTGATAAAGAATGGGATACATTTTTTTGATGGTCGGTTAGACGTTCATAACACAGTATTGGACTCAACTGAGGGCTCACCATTAACTGATAGACCTACCAAAAGCGGCCCACAAATTGTTAGTATTTTTTTAAGAAAAAAAAAGACGAACGTGAAATTGTACAAAAATATCAAGCCAAAGTTAGCGTGATGTATAGAAATATATACAATTTATTCATAATCACCAAATAAAAAACAACAAAATTTAACAAAATTCAGAAGGAAAAATAAATGCCATTCCCTCAAGAAGTTTTCATCTCACTAGAGCCACTGTCCGCATCTGCTGCTGCTGCAATTGGTTCACTGGATGATGCTGACCTGGCTGGAAAATTAATAAAAAGAACAAAATCAGAAAGAGTGGGTAGGAAATTTTGGTGAGCAGAGTTTTATCACATACAGAAATTCCACCCATCCATCACTCTCATTATATAATTTTACAAATCAAATGCAGAAGCAACGCCCCCTAGTTAGTAGATTTGTACAGTATAACCAGAGAATTTAATACTACTGTAAACCCTCTCTGGTATAACACGAATAGCTCTAATTCGTCGGGACCGGCCTCGGTAGTTGGAGGCAGCTGTAGTTCGAGGGATCTGTAGTTCGAGGGATACATGAGCATTGTCATGGCATCTGCTGTGATAGAGAATCAAGGGAAGCAAGAAAGATTGCGTCGGAACAGAGATTTTCCTTTTTTCGGCCATTGTCCTAGATCAGATAGGTTAGATCTATGCCTTTGACTTGAAGTTTAAATTTGAGAGAATTTGAAATTGACAGATAGATTGAGAGTGAGACACACGATGAACAGACCTGCCACTCTATGAAACCTCAAAATCAGGATCTCAGGGAGAGAAAAATCGGGATTTTGTGAAAAAAATCGGGATCAGCTGCAAATCACCAAGGTGACTGCCAAAGCTGACTTTAAAAAATGTCCAGGGGTATCCATAAATTACTCGGCCTATATGCCCCCTGTGGGTCTTTGTTTGCGTGCGTGTGTGCGTGTCTGTGCGTAGGTGCGTGCGTGCGTGTTATCATTATTTTGGTGTAAATCCTGAAGCATCATGTCAAGCACTCCTAGTCCAAGTGTCTATAACCCCCCCCCCACACACACACATCAATAAATAAGTCACGAAATACATGAACTTAGGTTGACCCCGTCACGCAGAACTCACACGGCGATGTCATGTCATGTGATGCGAATGCGCGATTGAAACAATTTTACTACCGGGTCCCACTAACTGCGCGTTCACACAAAACACCCGGATGACAAACAGTCGTTCTACTTCTAGGATAACGACGGCGACCGACCGACCAAATGTACCAACAAATCTCTTATCCCTCATAATGAGTTCAGACTAAAGCAACGACAACGGCCGTATGTTACAATGTTAGTCTTGTCAGCGCAGTCACATGTAGTTGTGTAAGGATTAGAAAGACTGTCGCTCATCTGAGTGTTTGATGTGAACGCGCAGTTACCAGACCTCGGACAAAGGCTTGTTTTGAAAGTAACCGCGGAACTACGAATATTATCGATTGTTTGTAAGTCCCAAATTGTAACAGTTACCAGGCTATCATCGGAGAATTCTGAGTGTAGGCAAAGATCACACACAAATTGGGGCGAGTAAACTACTAAATATGCGGCATTGATATTTCGGGAAATAGTGCTCTGAGTTCCTACTGACAAAAAGTTCAACGGGTGCTTCCCACGATAAAGAAGAAAGCAGAGTAAGTTTTTAGAAAAATCTGGCACAACAGCAGACTTGGGACAAAAAATCAGGATACACGCGATCGAAATCTGGAAAATCGAGATGCTTGAGATTTCTTGCAAAAAAGCGTGTATATCCCGACTAAATCGGGATGAGTGGCAGGTCTGGATAAACAACGCTTTCGAGTTCGATCGGTAATGAGCCTACCGGTACCAAGACAGTTTAATCGCGCGGGTCAGTGTGAGCACCAATCGAACGGTGCCTTTTCAAAATTTTAAAAACATAAACACTTAGACAAGATAAGCTTTTATCACAATAGTAATCAACAACACACAGACAAAACAAAATACCCCCCCCCCCCTCTCCCACCAAGCGTACAGTCTTTCCCAAATAGGGGTAGGGCGGCCGATCGTGTGACGCACAGCACAACCCTTCCTCTCGCCTACTCCATACAAGTACAAGCCTAGCTAGGCCTAGGACCTAGGCAAGCAAGCGCAGAAGGTATGCGTATGCGTGTCGAGCAGAAGGTATGCGTGTCGAGCAGCGCGCAAAAGAAAGCACTGCTAGCTGCTTCTGTGTTCGGTGGGGGGGATTTTACTGACCTTGGTTTTTTTCCGTTTTAAAAAATAATTATGAGGCCTATTATTATTTTGTCACGACTGCATCTCAAAGGGCATTGACTTTAGACCTGTACGGCGGCGTAACTAGTTTGACTATTCCATGTTTGTGTTCGAGCTTGGCGTAGTTTTCTTACAAAGGTAAAGAAGAAGAAAAAAAGGGACCGCAGGCACAGTTCGACAAGTGTGTGTGATTTCGAGTAATCTGTGTTCGACCTATCCGCTTTATACTGTATACTGTTTATACAGCCCAGAGAGACCCTTGACTCGCCCCTCCAAGTATCCACACTTACCCACATGATTTCCCACAGGCTGCAGCACGTCACTTTTTCTTTTACGTTTTTTTTGGTTGGTGTTTTTCTTTCTCTTTTCAGAGGAAGGGGAGGGGGGGGGGTTTAAAGTAATAAAACAAAGTAGCTCAAAAGAGTGAACCCAGCCCTTTATAGGAAGTTCATGTACGAGTGAGAGATTCAGAGACAAACAGTTTTGAAAAAGGAGTCTTACAAAAGTGAGGTACAGAAAATGAATACATGAATATATACTGCTGCATTTCCATGGAGATTACTGTATTAAAAGACGGACGACAAAACAGTGTATAAAAATTCAAACTTGTTGCTGAAACTCCAAGTCCTTTAACAAGTGGCGTCTGTTTCTCTTAATCTTTAAACAAAATTTTGATAACAGCATGACAAGGACGATAATGATAGCTATAATATATAAGTAACTGATAATACCTCAGCATTTTTAGAGCATCCCAATAAAATATTTTCTGTCTTTTGAGGCATATTCTCCTGCAACTTTTCTACAAAGTCTAAAGTCTGTAGTAAATACAGTAGAATAAACACTTACGTTTTTTTGATTCGAGGTAAACTGGGTCCATATTCAGTCTTTTATCTGTAACGATGACATCCTTCACTTTTTTAATTGTGGTATTTTGAGAATCTTTGTTGGCAGACGGTACTGAAAGAAAGAACAAGAATAGGAAAATTGAGGATACATAGATTGCTACAATCAAGGGTCACTTCAGATTGAGGATACATAGATTACTACAATCAAGGGTCACTTCAGATTGAGGATACATAGATTGCTACAATCAAGGGTCACTTCAGATTGAGGATACATAGATTACTACAATCAAGGGTCACTTCAGATTGAGGATACATAGATTGCTACAATCAAGGGTCACTTCAGATTGAGGATACATAGATTGCTACAATCAAGGGTCACTTCAGATTGAGGATACATAGATTACTACAATCAAGGGTCACTTCAGATTGAGGATACATAGATTACTACAATCAAGGGTCACTTCAGATTGAGGATACATAGATTATTACAATCAAGGGTCACTTTAGAGATTACTACAATCAAGGGTCACTTCAGAGATGACTACAATCAAGGGTCACTTCAGATTGAGGATACATAGATTGCTACAATCAAGGGTCACTTCAGATTGAGGATACATAGATTACTACAATCAAGGGTCACTTCAGATTGAGGATACATAGATTACTACAATCAAGGGTCACTTCAGATTGAGGATACATAGATTGTTACAATCAAGGGTCACTTCAGATTGAGGATACATAGATTACTACAATCAAGGGTCACTTCAGATTGAGGATACATAGATTACTACAATCAAGGGTCACTTCAGAGATTACTACAATCAAGGGTCACTTCAGAGATTACTACAATCAAGGGTCACTTCAGAGATTACTACAATCAAGGGTCACTTCAGATTGAGGATACATAGATTACTACAATCAAGGGTCACTTCAGATTGAGGACACATAGATTACTACAATCAAGGGTAACTTCAGATTGAGGATACATAGATTACTACAATCAAGGGTCACTTCAGAGATTACTACAATCAAGGGTCACTTCAGAGATTACTACAATCAAGGGTCACTTCAGAATGAGGATACATAGATTACTACAATCAAGGGTCACTTCAGATTGAGGACACATAGATTACTACAATCAAGGGTCACTTCAGATTGAGGATACATAGATTACTACAATCAAGGGTCACTTCAGATTGGGGATACATAGATTACTACAATCAAGGGTCACTTCAGATTGAAGACACATAGATTACTACAATCAAGGGTCACTTCAGATTGAGGATACATAGATTACTACAATCAAGGGTCACTTCAGATTGAGGACACATAGATTACTACAATCAAGGGTCACTTCAGATTGAGGATACATAGATTACTACAATCAAGGGTCACTTCAGATTGAGGATACATAGATTACTACAATCAAGGGTCACTTCAGATTGAGGATACATAGATTACTACAATCAAGGGTCACTTCAGAGATTACTACAATCAAGGGTCACTTCAGAGATTACTACAATCAAGGGTCACTTCAGAGATTACTACAATCAAGGGTCACTTCAGAGATTACTACAATCAAGGGTCACTTCAGATTGAGGATACATAGATTACTACAATCAAGGGTCACTTCAGATTGAGGATACATAGATTACTACAATCAAGGGTCACTTCAGATTGAGGATACATAGATTACTACAATCAAGGGTCACTTCAGATTGAGGATACATAGATTACTACAATCAAGGGTCACTTCAGATTGAGGATACATAGATTACTACAATCAAGGGTCACTTCAGATTGAGGATACATAGATTATTACAATCAAGGGTCACTTCAGATTGAGGATACATAGATTACTACAATCAAGGGTCACTTCAGATTGAGGATACATAGATTACTACAATCAAGGGTCACTTCAGATTGAGGATACATAGATTACTACAATCAAGGGTCACTTCAGATTAACCAGAGCAAGAAACAAATTCGTAATTTCAAAACAGAATCGTGCACATTTAATTCTTCAAGACGGCTGAATTGCCATTATATTGCATTTTATATAGGTAGGGCAGGCCCCTCTTTTTATTTCAAAGAAACCTTTGAAATAAAGGCATATTACCCTTTAACAAAGCTTGAAACACTGGGCAGCTGGAAGTTTTTATAGACTCAATCAAGTTCAGCAATTTTACTGAGGATTCAACAATACGACCATCAAAATAAAAATAAAAAACCCTGAGCTTTGGTGCATTTTATAGTATTCAGAAGCCTATTATCTTTATGCTCAACTTTCTAGTCTGAGTGATTATAAGAGAGTCTATCAATGCATCAGTCAAAGGGTGATGGAAAATAATTGATGATTGAGGTGAACATTATGTTTACGTTGTGTGCCTCAGGAAAATATTAATTACCGGTGTCTGAGTCTGTGATGTAGTGGTTAGACACTTCACTGACATATATATGCAGAAGACCCAGGTTTGATTTCTAAGTGGAAAGAATTGTTATCGAGTATCTCAGTCTTTTTGCTGGTATGTTTCTATCCCTCTCATCCCTGGTTGGTTCAGACAGTCAAAGGCCCACCTCCTAAATGATCTAAATTGTATTGATAGGGGCATAAAAACATCTAAATTTAAACCAAAAATATTTTTAACAAAAATTAATTACCACATAAACCAACAACACAACATTGCAGGTTGGTTCACAAGGCAGCAAACAAATGGAATTAAATTTCTAATATTTCCAAGCATGTAATAATTCATGATGATGTATTCTTCGCTTTTCACATACCTGTAGAAGTTTCAATCTCAAGAAGTAAATCAGACCCTAGTGCGGTGATCACTTCCCCAGCCAGCACTTGGTTATTCACTTTTACCAGTGGCCTATCCGATGACAGTCCCTAAAGATGAAAAAATGATGCATTGCATGAAAGATTAATCTTTTACACAAGTACTTTAAAGTCATAATTATAAATGCTATTTGTGTAAAATGTAAAAAAATAAATTGATACTTTACATCTCAGGTAAGATTCATCTGATAGATGAGGCTTTAGCAGGATAGTAAACCTGTTTTCAACATACAGGGATTACATTTGAGCAACAAACATAAATAGAATTACAGTAATTCAGAACAAAGCAACTACCCCTGTAACTTCAAGTAATCTAACAAGTTTGTGTAAGTCAAATAAGCAAATGGCAAAGGCCACATCCTATTTTTAATACCACCACTACCATCAAGGTCCCATCAAACTCAGATAATTTTTCACAAGACTTACCAAGATCTGGACAAACGAGTCCTCCTGAGCTCCTCTTCCTATGTTTATATGAGTCGGAATATCAACCATCATGACCATCTCCTAAAAAGAATCCAGACAACAAATTATTTCCATTACTTTCAGAGTCAATTTAAAATTAAATTTCATAAACTTATTTTTCCATGGTGCCATTAAACAAAGGCTGTATTGGTGTGGAATACAGAAGTCTACTTTAGTCAACTCAAGCAAAGGGAAATACAGTATCACACGGATAGCTCGAGTTCATCAGGACCGGCCTCGGTAGTTCAAGAGATCCATAGTTCGTGGGATATCTTACAAAGATAAAGAGGAGAAAAAACAACAAAAAACGGAGCTGTAGGCACAGTTTGACAGATGTGTGGTTTCGAGTCTTAAGAATTCCACCTATCCGTGTTATACAGTGGAGTCCACTTATAACGAGTCCTGAAATAACGAGAAGTCTGTTATAAAGACACTATTCTAAGACCACGTTTTTTTCTCTTCTTTATCTTTGTAAATAAAATACTGCTATCGCAATCAGACAAACACGCTAGGCACTTATTAGCGGAATATTGCTGCTGCTGTGCACAGTGCATAGGCCAATTATACATAATGTAAAACCTCGCCAGTTGAGAAACTTGTTGGTGATCTAGCGAAACAAAGAATGGGAGAGCCCACGTGTGTCAACAATGAAAGCCAGGAGCGAATGAGTAGGGAGGGTTTGGCATGCGCAGACAAGCAAAACCCATCGCGTGATAGGCCAGCCTAGGCCTAGTCTAGATTATCTAGGCTTACCATGCCTCTCACTTCTCCGATGCGGGGATGGAGAGGTCACAGCAATGTGAAGGATGGAGCGAATGTTTGATGTGCGCAAGCGGACGCAATGCACCACAGGGTGCAGAGGGGTGTACACAGCGGGCATGTTAGCCCAGAGCCCTTTCTTTCTGATTGCCAACGCTGAGCTGTCAACATCGCTAGCGCTAGAGAAACAAACCTGATTCGATTTTTGATCAAGTATGGCCAAGAGGTCATGTTGAAACAAAATCCTCACCAGGGGAGATAACAAAAAGAAATTAACAGAACATCAAACTCATAGATTAGGCCTACTTTATTATTAAATTTCCCTGAGGATCAAGGACTGGTGATGGGTCTCATTTAAATATTGAGAAATTCCTAAGCGTCTCAAACAGCTTCTCCCAATCCAGCCAACCGTACCTGCCCGTGGTGGTCCCTGTCCTCACTGACACGGCTCTGGCGAATGGCGAGTTGTTGGCGCCAACAACCCCCCCCCGTTTCCTAGAGGGGTTAAAACAACAGGATGGGAGCAGGTGTGGCCCCACAAGGTGCAGAAGGCAGAACCCACAGATGCGTGGTAGACGCTATGCTCCTCACTAACACACACCCTACTCTCCCTTGAGTGGGTGTCTAATCTGATTGACACCTCTACTGCTTTTTATCAACACACCCTCTGTGGCTGAGAAGGTACCAGCCAGTTTGAGAGTGTCTGGGTGCAGGAGATGGACCGAGCAGAATGCCTGACTTGCTTTCTGGCCGTGAAACCTCTTAGTAAAGGCACAACGACCCAGGACGTGACGATCCAATGGCTTTCCCACTTGGCCAATACCTCATGAAAGAGTAGAAAACTTTAGCCAGTAGCCATTGGTGGCGGGGAATGGGCAACGTGAACCCTACCGGAATTACACGGTCATAGGGCAGTTAGGTCTTTCCAGTCTCATGAAAACTCCTAGTACTAGTACCCTCCTATCCTCAACAGGAATGGCCTTTTCCAATGTTGAACCCCTGGGAATTCGCAGAGATAAAGCAGTTTTGGAGCTACATGAAAGAACTAAAAGAATGTGCCCCAACCACTCAAACAGGAAACTAGTAGAAACATGGAAACAAAAGAAACGAATTCAACAAAAGTCAATCATCCATCACATCACAGAACTAATGGAGAGCCACCATCTACCACAAAACAGAAAAAAACCCAAAAGAGTCAACCAAAACATCCCTCCCCACCTTTCTTTAAAAAAGCCAATCATTACAACATCTCTCAAAGACAAGAGCACAAAATCTTCAGACCCAATGACGCTGATGCTTGCATCACATCAAACAATCGACAGCTATTCAGATGACTGGATACACGTCTATACAGATGGCTCAGCATTCAAAGGCACAACCAAAGCCGGATATGGAATACTAATACAGTACCCAGATGGAAGTTCCAATGAGATCTCTGCAGCCTTTGGAGAGAAATGCAGCAACTACGATGCAGAAATGATGGCAATTGAAACAGCACTGAAGGCTACCATCTCCGCACAGTTTTTGACACTCATCCTGGAAAAGCACAGAGTATTGTGATTTTCACTGACTCACTGTCAGTATTACAAGCCATAGACAATGACCATCATCTAAACCAAGATTTGACCCATATACTGTTTGGATCCCATCATCTGATAACGTCCTGTGGCATCAACCTAGTAATGCAGTGGGTCCCCCGACACTCAGACATACCTGGAGATGATAGAGCAGACACACTCGCCAAACGGGGATCTAGACAGGAACAACCCAACACTCCAACTTCATACAACACTGCAAAACAAATCATCAAAAGCAACAACAAGATTGGACGAACAGATGGGCCCTGGGAAAGACAGGCAGAGCAGTTTTCGAACATATGACCACAACAAAAAGGAATGACAATATCAACTGCCTTCAGAGAAAGAAACAGACCACGATCTTCCGCCTACGAACAGAACATCAGCTCAACTTCCACCTGAACAGAATAAACCCGGAACTTCCCCCAATGTGTCTCTTGTGTGACTATGCATATGAGACAGTGGAGCATCACCTATTCCACTGCACAGCACTAAATGACATCAGAGCTACCCTTCTCCCTCCGAGACCTAACATTGACAACACACTCTCTAAGGAACATTACAGCAACTGCAGCAAACCTGCACTTATCACTACATGGCATTGGACAGAAGGGCGAGAGCCCAGCTGTTGCTGGATCGATAACAACAACAACAACATTTAGATCTAGTATCTAGATCTAGATTAGAATGGACCCTAGAGTAGGATTAACGCCCTCATTCTCTATCCAACAACAAGCCTTAGGCCAAGCCATCGGAGCTCAGTCACAAGCTCGCTGGGGGCGGGGGCGTGGCCTATCTTACGCTGACACATTTTTTTAAGAGAGGGAAAAAGGCAGAGGTAAATTTTTACTTTTACACCCACACACAGATGCACTGATATGAAGGCTAAACTGCCACAATTTTTGCTGCAGAACACACGTATGGCCACTAAAACCCTTGCAAATCAATTTTTTTCATGTAAATATCAATCCTAATTGCCAAAACATCAAATCATTGTAAAATTCAGGGGGGCATGGAAACCCCCCAGTTTCTTTTTAGGTCAGGGGGGGTGCCCCCCTGAAACCTCCCATGTTGTTAAAAAGTAAGTCAAATATTACTACGTCACTGGTCCTAGTTTTGTTTTCAAACATGAATAACTCAGTAACTATTGATTTGCGGCAAAAATGAAGGCCATATTCGTGTTCAGCATGCAGAATACTACTAATCTAGAAAAAAAGTATAACAAACCTGTACATGAGATGGGTGTATTAGTAAAAAAAAATGGCCGGCACTATTTCTCCGAACGTTCGGGAAAATAAAGCTGGGCACGATTTCTCCAAACGTTCGGGAAAATAAAGCTAGGCACTATTTCTCCGAACGTTCGGGAAAATAAAGCTGGGCACTATTTCTCCGAACACACTTTCGGATATTATATATAGAGTATAGGCATACCAAAGATTGTTCGTATGCAATATGGTTCAATCGGTCCAAAAAATGTCCGCAGTAAATATTTATATAAAGAAATGCTACAGTTCCAAATAGTTTTTCACTACAGATATGACGTGTTGCCTATGAAGGGTGCTGCTTTTAAACTTAATGTGTTGTGTTCACTCGTGTGCTGTCTAGATCTAGATCTACAGAGGGTTATTGATAACGACACATAGAACTAGCTTCTGCGTTCGTCACGGCCACGACCAATCAGTCGTGGCTCGATTTTTTGACATTTTTTGGTCGGGGAATAAAAAGTCAAATTTAAAAAAAAAGAAAAAAAAGAAAGAAACCGAACCTCTTTACTTTTGAAAGAAGTTCACTTAGCTTCAATTAGTCTCTTTCTCACTTGTTGTCACCACGTTGATTTGTTGAATACGTTACAGTTACTTTTATTTTTCCCTCTTTGACTCTTTGTGGTGTTTAATTTTGTTAGTATGCAATTTTTTTTTCTTGTTATTGTTCTGATGTGTTGTTTTTCTATCAATTTTTTTTGGTTGGGGAAAGGGGAGATGTTGCATAGTGTAAAACGTCATTTAATTTGATGTTCCTACCTTCATTAGATTCTAAATATATATGTATAATATAGATTTAAATGTTTTATGTTAGAGCATACGTTCCACCAAAACCGATTACATGTACTGACACTGGCAGGCCCCTTAATGTGTGTGATTCCATAATTTACTTGTAATATCCTGTACTTTAAAACAAATTTACGCACTTTTAGGGTTAAAACAGGCAATTTTCTTCGGACAGGTTGACACACACGTACCCTTATTTGTTAATTTGTGTGGTTGTTTATGGGCTGTTCGACTAATTTTGATTTAAAATTCTGTTGTGAAACCTTTCTTTTTCACGTTTTTACACTGATCGAAAAATCTCTAGACTAGCTCTTGAAAATTGAAATGGATAGAGACCCAAAAATTTGCTCCTGTGTGTGTGTGTGTTTTTCGGGCTTTATTTCAGCCTTTATTCAGTAACAGTTCAAAGTATACAAAAAAAGAAACACAGGATCCATTCACTCCAGTGCTCATGAGTCGTTCCTCTCTTTCAGTTTCACTTATTCATTCAATTCCCGTGTTCTCTCCCGCGGCTCATCCCCGTCCTCATGACTTTCACACCCCACCCCCTCCCTCCAGGCACACACAAAAAAATCTCACTCATTCCCTTGCACCCTGCGAACCATGAACAATAATATAGGCAAAACACTGCCTTAGCCACATTCCTTTCGTTCGTGAGCTGTGGACCAGGCCAGGGGGTCAGTGTCGTCTTGTAGTTGCTGTCGCCTGTGGATACACTCGTAAATTCTTCCTTTCACCCGCTCTGTCACTCACATTGTCTCTCCATCCACAACTCAGCTCGTCCTACGTTCAAAAGTTGCCCACTGATCATGTTTAGTTAGTGTGTGTATAAGTTTGAGTGTGTACATGTGCATGATGGTGGTGGGTGTGTGGTAGGGCATTGAGTGGTGGGTGGTACTGAAGGTTGTATGTAGGCGAGCTTGCCATGCGGTGTTCCTTCCCAGACCAGAGGCAGAATGAAAATTGGCGCCGAACTCTCGCAATAAATAGAGGCAAAAAATCACGAGACCGGAAGCCGGAAACAGTTAGGAGAAATAAAGATCGGCACTAGTCTAGATCTAGATCTATTTCTCTGAACATTCGGAGAAATAGTCGCTTCGAAAAAAAATACCAAGGCAGCTGCAGCATCTTACCGTAGGGTACAGTATCTTTGGTTCAGTGTCACGTACACGGTAATCGGGCATGTAGCCCTAAGTTAATCACGTAGTCTCAGTGTCACGTAGACACTCCTAACTACAAAATCACTCCCTCCTACTCCTAAGACAAGATTCAAGAATTCAAGATAACTGTACTCTCTTCTACTAGATGTAGATATAGATCTAGATCTAGATCTAGATCTAGATCTAGTACTAGTACTTCTACATTGACATTATAATTATAGTACAGTACAATTCCTGGGCATCAGGCAGGGGTGAATGAAAAATAACATCTAGAATCTAGATCTAGAGTCTAGATCTAGATCTAGATCTAAATCTAGTCTAGAAATCCTGAGAAAAGAAATTGTATTTTCTTAAGGCAGGTTTAAGTTGATGTTGGCCATCATTTCTAGATCTAGCCTACCTCGTATTCTTCTCCAAAAGGCGCATCCATCATGTTGCTTTGTTTATAGAGTCTATCTTCATGTGCTTTAGTATTGAAGAGCTCTCTTCAGTTGTGTTGTGGTTTTCGCAGTTCGTTCTTTTTTCTTTTTTTCAGAAATAATATCCAAATTGTGTGTGGAGAACAACTTGTATAATTTCTTTTCCAGACTAGGAAGAAAAAACAAAACAGGGGAAAATTAAAGGCTTATAATATCAATTTACAAGCATTTGAACTTGGGAAAGAAACCGATAATATAAAATTTGTTGCCAAACGCACGCAATACTTGAATTTGGGCGTAGACTTTATTAGAGGCGGGGTGGTAACCAGAGTAGAGGGCTGCCGTTGAGAAGTCGGATTGGAGGCAACTTATGAGTGGACTTTTAAGTTTGTTGTAGGGATCTGCCTGTTTGCTCATCGTTCCTTCTCAAGCAAATATTACAAAATAACAAATGACATTTTCAGTGACTATTTTTCTTCCAAACAACGAGCGCTTCGTCGACAAGGCCTAGCTTTAATATTATGGCAGTACGTTGTATTACTACACCAAAGATGAACACAATTTGCTTACGTCACACGCAACAGGAAGTCTGATTGTTGGCTGTCGAATAAGTAACAAAACAACAGCAAGGCTTAGAGGGGCCTACTTAGAATTGAGAATAGCCTACCTACAGGTTCACTGGTGGTCACAAGTGACTTTGTGGGATTTTTTTTTCAGTCGTACCTACGTTTCAGAATAAAGGTCACAATGAAGCAGTCGAGACAAATTTCACCATTTGATTCGAAGGCGTTTACATGCTGTTGCTGTTGTCATGTGAGAACAGGAACTCTCATCTACGGAATATTTACAGTGGTAGGTTTTAGTTTCCGCTTTCGTCAGCTGTATTTATACTGGGATCAAGAATCTAGAAATCTAGATGTACATTCTAGATAGATATCTAGATTTTTCTAGATCTAGATCTAGATCTGACCTCTTTGAACATTAGCAGACTGCCACTAGATCTACTCCTGTGTAGAAAGGGGGGGGGGGGTGCAGGGGCAGGGGGGGTTGGCACTTTTTCGGTAGTTCGCAACCCACCCCGCAATCCGCAATTGGTATTCGCAGGTCTTAGCCCCAAGACCCAAGAGTATGTTTTGCAGTTGTTAGGTTTGATATCTAAGCTCGCCGCACATCAACAAGATGTAGACTTAGTAGGCTCAAATAGGCCACCTCTATTCTCACCCCGGGTGAGAATAGCGTAGGCGAGTCTTTTGGCTATTCTCACCCGGTGGGTGTTCACTGTTATGTTATAGCCTAGGCCAACCAGTGAAGCTTTCACCCTGAACCACAGAATTCTACACTGTAATAACAGAATTGTAGAATTCTGTACCACGAACAAACGTTCTAGATCTATTACTACTGTTAGTGTTAGCCTAAAAGCGTGCAATTTTGTCCGTGGGCAGTGGAGAAAGAGAGAGAGAGAGGAGTAGCGCGAGAACTTCCGGGCAAAACAAAATGGCGACCCGCGTAGTTCGGCTCGATTCGGAAAGTTAAATAGCCGTAGCATCTTTGTAGACAACCAAATTAATTTAGTTTTGTAATTTAACATCATTCTTTAACTTTATTTTGGTCAATTTGATCGTCCACACCGATAGACAGTATTCAGAAAGAGACAGAGAGAGGGGGAGGGTGGAGGAGTAGATCTTGCGACAACTTCCGGGCAGAACAAAATGACGACCCGCGTAGTTCGGCTCGATTCGAAAAGTGAAATAGCCATAGCTTCTTTGAAGACGATCAAATTAGCTTACTTTTGTGCTATAACGTAATTTTTTCTTGGCTTTTATCAATTTGATTATCCACACCGATTAGGGTTGGGTCGGGCTTGCAAAATTAGCGTCCGCGAGTAACGAACTACCCGCTGGCATTACCCGCAAACGAGCGGACGGGTAACAAACTGTCCATTTGTGAAGAGTAGTTCGCTACTCGCTACACATCGGACAGAGACAACAGTTCGTTGAGCGAGCGAGCGGACGGGCGGACCGAGAGACTCCATGCATTCGAGCGGGCCGGCGGACGGACGGATGGGAACGACTCCTTCCATTGCCTACAACTTTTAAACCCCCCGCCCCTCCCCCCCTAAAAAAATAATTAAAAAATCACCCTCCTGCCTCACATTGTAGCTAGGCGTTCATGACGGAAATTTCGGCCCCCCCTCCCCCGGCCTTTGAGATAATTGGAACGTACACAGTGTGCCCCACGCACGAGGTGAAAGGCGAAAGGTTACACACATAGTACTACGTCACCAGCCTCTCTCACTCCCTGTGGCACCGCTAGTGGTTTGAAACATCAGACCTAATTAACAAACAATAGACGACGGGTCTAATCTCGCGTCGAGTATCTCGTCTGCTAGAGTTCGTCCGTTCGCCCGCCCGCCCAGTGAATAAAATTGTGGAGCGGACCCAAAAAATGAACTGGCTTGAGGTCCGCAGTCCGCTCGCTGAGAGAGTCAAATTGTGGAGCAGACCCAAAAAACGAACTGTCTTGAAGTTCGCAGTTCGCTCTCATGGCCGTCCGTTACCCGTTCGCTCTGACTGAGTCCGCGAGTAACGAACCTGTCCGTCCGCTCGCCCCAACCCTAACACCGATAGACAGTATTCCGAAATGAGAAAAAACAGGTCTTGTTTCACACCGGGTGAGAATAGCCTACGGTGGCAAGTCTCACCCGGGGTGAGAGGTAGATCGTATTTTTATTCTCACCCCGGGTGAGGATAGCCACTTCCGTTCAAATAAGGGGGGTGGGAGCCCCCGAAAAGGCACCGGGGGGGTTCACCCCCTGCTAAAGTAAAAAAACAATAGATAGACTAATCTAGATCTAGATCTAGACTAGTTTGCGACAGTTTTTAGTGCCAAAAAAAGTATTCCCGGCAGATGGTCTTGCTAATCTTCAATTTTACCCTAGATCTAGATCTTTCTAAGTTGAATGTCATTTCAGTCAATTCAGTTTGTCAAAATTTCCAGTCATCCTAATCACCACATTTATAGATCTCTAGATCTAGACAAGAGATTCAAGACTACATGGAGACCCCACATGCGATTACACGCAGGGCGTAAACCGGGCTACGATTGGCTGAACCTGTGGGTACTCTGGGAATTCCCGGTTTCGGTCTTGCGCCTTTGGCGGTCTTCTCACAGCGGGTTGAGTGCTCATGGAAGAAGAAAAAGAAGAAGAATTGAGGAGGAGGAGGTGTAGATGGAGGAGGAGAAATAAAGAAGAAGGAGGAAGAGGAAATGAAGAAGAAGAAGGAGGAGGGAGGAGAAGAAGAAGCAGGGGGACGAGAAGGAGGAGCAGGAGGGAGTAGAAGAAGAGGAGAAGGAGAACAAGAAGAGGATCATCATCATCAATGCCTTTCACCACCCCTGGCAGGGTATAGGCCACATACAAGCTCCTTCCATTTATCTCTGTCCTGAGCCATCCTTCCAAGCTCGTTCCAAGTGAGCTTCATTTGTCTCATGTCCCTTTCCACGCATCTCCTCCATGTTTCCCGTGGCCTACCCCTGCCTCGTGCTCCCTGTGGGTTCCACTGCAGTGACTGTCTTGTGATGTTTCCGCTGGGCTTTCTTAAGGTGTGTCCCATCCATCGCCACTTTCTTAGTCCTATTTCTACTTCTATATATCCTTTTGTCCTGTCCTTTCCCACAGCTCTTCATTTCTTATTCTATCCTGCCACTTAATTCTTAAAATACTCCTCATACATCTGTTGATGAAAGTCTGGACCTTATTCAGTACTGTCTTCGTTGTCTTCCAAGTTTCGCAGCCGTAGAGGAGCACAGACTTGACATTGGAGTTAAAAAGTCGAATCTTGGTGCGCAGTGAGATGTTGCTTGCTTTCCAGACTTTTGATAATTGCTTGAAGGCTGACCTTGCCTTGGCGGTTCTTGCTTTAACATCTGCCTCGGTTCCACCTTTACCATCGATGACACTTCCAAGATAGGTAAAGGAGTCCACTTCTTCAAGGGGAGTGTCTTCCACTGTCACAGCAAGACGAAGAGGATGAAGAATTATAAATATAGAATAAGGAGAGGAAGAAGAAGGATCTCTAGTAGTAATAATTGTTACGAAGGGGGGACTTTTTCGATTGTTACCCTACCTCGGGAAAGGAGACAGGGAGAGAGAAAGAGGGTGGTGAGAGCGCAAAGAGTAGCCTACTGTAATCCTTAAATATAATGTATTCATAGGTCACAGGTTCAGCCAATCGTAGCCCAGTTTACGCCCTGCGTGTAGTCGCATGTGGAGACCCTTTGTTACTCAATGTATGATGGGTATTCAAATTCAGGTTATCTCTTCTCGAGGGAATTGTCATCACCGCCCACTTTTTCTACTGTGCTGTCAGTGATGGACAGAGATTTATTTTTATAAATTTAGTGCCAGGTGTTTAGCAGTAGATCTAGATCTAGATTCTACTAATTCTAGATCTAATTTACCTGAACTTGTTTGAGTTTTTTTTGGCCCATACTATAGGCCTACTCACCACCAGTCCAGTGGAACTGTAACTTGTTACTTGGTGTTTAGTCTTTCCAGCGTCTGTGCTGAGATAGGAATCTTTTCGGCAACCGATTATGTCGGACGTGCCGGGCAGGGGGCCGGGGACACTCAGTGTGTACTGTCAGTGTACAGTGAGTAATTCATTCACCTGTCATTATTTTTAGTCCCTACAGTGAATGTTTACTCAAGTTGACCGATGGGTAGGCTTAACAATAGATTTTCAACTGCTGGTGAGAGAAGCGTGATCCGTTTATAACTTAAGCCCTGCTCACAACTCATGCACAAATATTGTGTGAGGTGACTGGTCACTGTTTTGTTTACACCTATTTCTGTAACAAAGTAAAAATGGACATTAACTCACTCAATACCACAACCGCAACTGTTGCAGGTAAAGTAGCTCCAACGCTGTGATACCACACCCGCAACCCTCGCAGTTCGCACTTTGGAATTTTTTTCTCACGTTTACTGTACTGGTTCATCTTTTTTCGTAGCCCATTCAATTATCTTTCATTAGAAAGAAACGAAACCGAAATTGGACGAACGCAAGTTGAGTTATTGATTTTTACGACAATCGCCCTTAGAACTGAATTTACTAGTACGTTTCCTACAATGGTAGATCGCTTCTTTGACCGTTTTCGAACATTTGACAATGAAAGTGACTCAGAAACCAATGAATTGGTCAGAGATTGTTTATGACGAACTGGGTGTAGAAATTTTCAAAGAAGAGTAAGGTTTAGTAGGGCCCCCAAAACCTAGATCTAGGGTTGCAGTGTTGGGGAAGGGCGTGAGTATGAAAGGCAAAGAGAACGCCGGTTTTGACCTATTTTTGAAAACTTGTTCCAAATTTCAAGTCTCTATGTTAATTAGCAAAAGCACAGGGATTTTTAAAAATTACCCTTAAAATGGCTGGTACACAGGGAATAGCGACCCAAAAAATGGCTGGTAGTGAGTGAGTTAATGTGAACTTGCAACAGAAGCGTCACTCATTCTCCGAGTGGTGGCAACCCATGTGTTTGTTTTACCATGGCTCTCTTGGTCTTCATCGTCTTCCATAATATTTCGTTTATTTTACCCTTGCACAAAATCAGCCACAAAAAGAAAGCTTACCCACAAAACAACACAAAAAATTCCTTCTTACATGACCTACCCCGTGTTTTCAAAACAAAAACCCCTTTGAGTTAGCCTTATGGCAGTCTTAAGTCTTAGGTCAGCCCCAGTTTGGACCTCAGAAGAGAAGAATGGTTTGCTTTCTTCATTTTGATCAGTCCTGCCTAAGACAGCCACCTGTGTTATACGGCCACTTTTCTCCTGACAATGGGTGGCCGTTTTACACAAGTGACTGTATATATATAATCTAAAATCATTGAAGTAAATACAGTAGTATTGTGCTGGACGAATACAAGATAGAGTGAGAAGTAGTGGAACCAACAAGAGTAATAAATTATAAAAATCTCTGAAGGTTATAAAATTGTTCACACCACTTTAATCAATATTTGTTAATCATGAGTAGCTCAAGGGCCAATGGCTCTCGTGGAGCAGAAGATGGCATTGCAAGAAATCAACAGGAGTGAGGCCCAAGCTCAATGAGCTCCTCTTCTCCTTTTCGAAGTTCGAAACATTTTGAATGGGTATATGAAGTCATCACATCACAGCTTGTAATGTAGTGTAGGGTAAGGACCTACAATCTTGTTTTGAAAAAACCCCACCCCAAAGCTGTCAGCAGCCATGTCCATGACATTCATTAGCATGTTGGATGCAGTGTGAGGTGGGGCTGGGACCAATTTATAATAAAATGAAAAATCATGATTCAGCACACTGGACGCAACACAAATATAAAGAGACAGACACACACCCACCGCTGAGAATCACTGGCTTGGGTGAATAGTTTTGGATGAATGTTGCTGTGAATATTGAATTAAAGGGAAAGTTGCTGATGGATGAACTTATGTTTGAAAAACCATTCGCACACGTTGAATGACATGAATATTAACTTCACTTCTTGAAACATCTTCAAAATGGCAAAGCACTATTGGTAACCCTAGCCAAGTGCGGAGTTATTACTTTTTCTTGCTTTTTTTTTTAACACTGACTTAAAAATGTCGTGCAGGTAGGTTGTTTTCCTTTGTAGACTCTGAAGAGGCAACATGACTCACTGAGTTGGATGGAGCTTTTTGTACAAGAAAATTATGTCATACAATGCCGACTTCCAAACATTCAAACTTTCATATGTACGCTCAACTCATGAACTCACATCATTACTTCTTAAAAGCTTAAAAGTATGATAAAATGCATGCCAGTACACAAGCCACACAATACTAAGTCAAATGTAAATGCCAACTAAAGTATCTTGTGCATCCACCTCTGTCCATTCCCCACTATGACTATGAGACTGTTTCCCTCATTCAACAGGATCATTCATTGCTGGTGGATTGTAATATTGGATCATAAAAATCTCTTGTAATTTGATGGTAAAATAGACTAACAACTATAGACTATAGCTTTGGGTAGAAGTAAGAAGTCTTTCTGTAATTAGAAGATTGTGATGCAATAGAAACACACTACGACAGAATCAAATCTAAATTAGAAATGCTTTTTTCATGCATCTTTTACACTGCTGAAAAATGATTAAATATTCAGTTATAGCTAACCTTCAGTTGGGTACTGTTATTTTTCTTTTCACTTTTGCTGCTGTATAATATTTATATATATATAGTACCAGTAGACTTTGATAAAGGACTTCAGGGGGGCTCTCGTGGCCCAGAGGTTAAGGTGTTGGCCTCTCATTCAAAGGTCCCGGGTTCGATTCCGGGTAGCGACCGAAAAATTTTCTTCCCTAAATTTGTCTGCTTTCACCTCATTTCCTGCTCTCTAGCAATGTTCTGTCGCCTGCTTTCGTCTCCTCTTTCTGCCCCCTCACCTCCTTTGCCCCTTCCTCTGGACTCCTGATTCTTTCTGCAGCCTTTCTACTGCTACTCCTTCGCTTCTTCTTACTGCTGTCTTTCAGCCACACCCCTGATCTTCTGGTAGGAAAATCTACACCTAGCCTTCTTGGACAAGGGCGAAAAATCTCGGAGGGCCCGTGTGCAAGTTGCGCCCGTTGAAGATCCCTTGGTGGTCCAAAATCGATAAGGCTTCGGCCGCCACCCGGGCAAAATTCAAAATTTCCTACCAACTGAAAATATTAGGTGTGTCCCGCGCGCACATATGACCTTATGCAGTTGCGAGCGCCATAAAACACTTTACAAAAACAAACAAACAAAAGGACTTCAGTAATGATTTTGTTTTTCGTTTTTCCTTTCAGTTGGTGCACCTTCTGCTTCTTGGGCTGTTCATTTTGGCTGCAATTCATCCAGATGTCCTTAGATCAGCAAACCAACAACCATATGATGGAATTGTTGTTGTGCAAACAGAAAGCGGAGAATTTTTTGAGAGAATTGGACACCCTTCTCTGGATGAAAGGTTTAGTAAAGGTATGATAGTTAAGTTGCTGGGTTTTTTTTTATCGTTGTTCATATGGCATTTCTTTCATACATGGACTTTTTATTTATATCTATTTTAAGGTAATTTCAGTAGGTGGCTCTTGTTACTCTTGATTTTCTGAGAATGGAACATAACTCTTCCCTGATCACTTTGCTGTTCAAAGGAAAGTTGAGATGGGCATGGATTTTTTATTTCCCAAAGTAAATTGCATGTGGTCATGTTATGATAAGACCTGTGGGTTGATAGTGTTCAGTATTGCTTTTTATCCCTTTGATCTCTTTGTAAGACTTCAGGACTTCCAAGAGTGATCTAGTCAGGCTGTATGGCGATATAATTGAAAAAGATAAATGTGGAGGTACAATTTTGAGATATTATGATGAAAAATTTTACTTATCACACATTTTTGTAATGTCATTCTCATTCTCTCCATAGATAACCTGTGTGTTGCGTTTGCAATGACTCTGGCCTGGATCATGTCTGTTCTTGCACTCATCTATGGTGTTGCACGGGTTTGTACATATGTTTTCTGTAAAGAATAATTGAAGAAACATGATGGGGATGTGACAGTAGAAAGTGTAGATGAGAGGAGAGCTAAGGAATTGAGATATTTGCTGTGTTTGCTGTTTTCACAAAAATTGATACCATGAAGAATCTAGAGATATGTTTTCGTTCCTGTCCATTTATTCTGCAGCTCAGTGTGAAAACTATTTTTGTGAAGGCACAGTTAGGAATGGCAAAAGAGAGGCATATATATTTATAAAACTAAACGGTTTTCGGAGATCTGTCGAAGCTACAGAAGTTACTATAACACAGAAAGTATGGAAATTTACACAAGTTGTCCATAATAGCACCAAGTAGTGCCTTTTAGCACTTTGGTAGTCCAACAATTAATGTATTTAAAAAAAAATGTTTTTTGATCATACCGACCGTAAACGGAGGAGGAAATGGTACAAATGGAACAGCCGCGAGCCCAATGTCTCGCAAAGTCTCGAAGTCGTTCGCTGGATAGACAAAAAATGCGTGCGTACAGCTAAAAAACACAATAATGCAATTATTATTAATAAACTTAAACAAACGGTATTAATACTAAACATTATAACCATTTTTGTGTTTTAACATTTAGGGACTTTAAGAGTGGCCGCTCTAAGGTTGTGGGTTCAAATCCAGTCAGGGGCCTGACATTGTGTCTTGGGGTACTTTTCACGACTTTTCCTCTCTACACCTAATTGGGAATAGGTACCTGGCTATTGACAGGGAAAGATATTGTCGGATTGTTAGTGTTTGAGCACGTGAAATATGCAGCTTGCACTCCCAGGAGACCAAGAATCTTTCTAAGGGTTCTAAGGTCTGCTGGGGTAATTATAGTTGTAAAGCGCGTAGAGCATGCTATAGCGTGTGAATATGTTTTATATAAATGCAATTACTATTATGTTTGTTTTTCAGAACTATGCCAGTTACCTGATGCCATGCTTCTGTCTGCAAGTCTTTGATTTCTGCCTGACCTGTCTGACTGTGGTTGGCTGCTTCACCTATGCTCCCAATATTCAGGAGTGGATCAGACAGTCTGGACTGGTGAGAATCTTTTTCTTTGAAGACAAAAAAGGCAGTTTATGTTTAGTGTGCTTATAATGCTTCATTGTCTATAAGGTATGTGGCATTGATGGCCTAGTGGTCAGGCTCTTGGACTTCCAGCTGTAAGGTGGTGATATTTTTGTCAATGTAATATGCATAGAGCATTTCTTAGAAAATGGAAATAAGCAGCATAAATGCTATACTATTATTATTATTATCTCTAAAATGTTTACTCTTTTAATTTTCTCTCTGAATATGTGGTGGTTCCAAAACCAAAAGAAATGAGGTAGTGTGGCTCTAGAGTTTCAACTTTTATCATGCATCTCCTTGAAACATGAAGACCACCTCTTTACTCTCGCTCACTCGCTTTCTCTTTCTCTCTCTCTTGCTTCCCCGTCTCTCCCCCCCCTCTCCCGCTCCCTCTCTCTCTCTCTCTCTCTCTCTCTCTCTCTCTCTCTCTCCCTCTCTCCCTCTCTCTCTCTCTCTCTCTCTCTCTCTATCTCTCTCTCTCTCTGTGTGTGTGTAAGTGTGTACCAGAAACTAAATTTTCAAAGTAGCTGTATGCCAAATGTATCTGTTCCTTTTGAAAGGCCTATATCCAGTGAGCATTTTGGTACCATTCTTTAAACTCTCAGTTAATTTTTAAGAAAATGGTAGTTGTTTAAAATTTGATCAAATTTGTTAAAGTCAGTCACTGGCTGCAACCCCATGTTTGACAGACAATAAAAGAATACCAAGTGCACTAAACATCTCCACATTAACAGAGTACAATCCCTATAACATATATGGAGCCTAATTTTTTTCTAGACTGTAAGATCATTACAAATCAGTATTTTATCACCTCAAACACGATGATCTGTCGTTATTTCGACAAAAACACCGAGCGTTGACCCCGCCGGCGCCGCACCAGCCTCCGCGGCGGGTGAGTCGGCTCTATACTGTAGTGTACCCCGCGTGCGGGCTCATATGCTTTCCGAGTCTCGCAGAAGGATTGATGCAAAATAATTCCAAGCTAATTACTTTTCTTATAGAAAATAAACTGATCTTTTAATTGATACCTGTTTTGAGCCGTTATTTTACATATTTCGTGTAAAAAATGATCTTTGGAAACTTTGACGGTATTTTTAAAGGCTTTCTATTTAAACGCCAAAGGCCAAAATTATACCACTGGAAAGCCCGTTTAAAGCTCTACAGTTCTCCGCCAATGAAAAGATGGTATTTAATCATCCTACGTTCTGCGAAGCATTTGAATGCACGCGTGTCAATTTTTTAACCTGCTGACCACGCATTCCGACCGCGAGGGGCTTCGCTTTCCTCGGCGATTCTCCAGCTCCTAATAATCGGACATATAAACAACTTACACCATTGTAATGAGGAAAAGCTGAACTTAAACTAGATGTAGGGCATTTGGTGTTTTATAGCGAAAGAGCAAAGAAACAGCGATCGGAATTACCCCGATTTCACCGATACCGCGCGGTCGGAAGGCTGCAAGTGCCCGCGAGGCCATGTTTACGCTACCTACTCTCTCTCTCTCTCTCTCTCTCTCTCTTTCGCTCAGGCACTGATTAACATAATATGAAACTGTTATGAAAATGTGGATGTGATCCCAGTTCTTGTAGATTGCAAAATTCATTTGGTATTTAAATGTGCACAAGAAGAAGTTTCACTACCTCTTTTGAATTACTTTTTTGTGGATCAGTGATCTCCTGTGCTCTGTAAAGAGAGCGCTTGAAGTAAAAACAGTGCTATTGTATTCAAGAGAATTGTTCCACTTCTGAGATTAGTTCAGTCATTTGGGACAGCGTCCAATTCTTGCTCTGTCAGCTCGATTACAATTCTCGCTTTGTGTTCTTGAGGTGGTATCAGTTCCGAGAGATTTACCTGCGTGTTTCACTTTTGTATGATACCTTTTCATTCGTACTCAAAAGTCAAGTATTTTGAATTTTATGAAGGCCATTGGCCTTTATGGCAAATTGTAAAGTGAAATCGTACTATTAAATTTTTATTGCTATTTATAAGAGTTGTTTTAAATTGAAAATATATTTACACCGAATTTTAATATTTTAGCATTTTAAAGTCTAATAGTTAACCAATCGTGTGGTGAACTTTTGCGAAAGTAAACAACTTGTGTTTCGCGCGCTCATATAACCTTACGCAGTTGCGAGCGCCGTAAAACCCTTTACTACTATTACTACTCAAAAGTCAAGGATGAAGGAAATATAAACAAATTAACATTAAACCCAATGCCATTATATCAATGCTTTATATACATGGGTATCATGGTATCATGCTTTGTAGGAAATTGTATTACGTCTGTATGTGTCTGGTGAAGAGGGGGAACCTCGTAGGTTTCTTATTTATTTCATGTTTTTTTGGCCTATCCAAGGTTATATCTAGCAGGTGGTTGGAGGGTGCCATTGGTAGGTCCAACTTGGTTTCTTTCCCTCTTTTGTTTATGTCTGCCTGTCTTATTTTTTCCTTCCCTCTATATATGACTGTTATCACATGGATGTTCCTTGCTGTACTCAAACACAAAGGTTATGTTCATGAACACTGAGTCTGTCGCTTCGGAGAACAGGCTGTATAAATGGTCAGACATGTCTCAAACCAGCTCCTCATGGAGACAATTAGCAGGAAGACCCTGGGGAGGACGCTGGAAAGGAGAGATGAGCAGCTATGGACATGTGCCGCCTGCTATGATTTTAGCTCTGGACCCAAGTAAATCCAAGCAAGCAAGTAAGGCTGTATTGTTTTGAGCATTTTTACATAGTCTGACTTTCCCATTGCTTGTATCCGCCCACAGGAGAATTCTCCAGGCTTCAAGACCATCGAGTGCATGGATCGTGACTACGTGATGCTTCTGTTTGTTACCTGCCTCATCATGGTTCTCTCCGTCAAGGTAAGACCACACGCATTCAGAAGTGGAACGTCGACATTTTGGGCACTCCAAGCTGGGCCAGCATTCAATTGCTTAGAGGATTTTTTTGGGAGGGGGTGGGGAAGGGGCTTTCTGAAAGGAGACCTTTCTTACTGCCTTTCTGTTTGGTTTTTTTTTTTTTTTTTTTTTCCTTGTGGGTTCCAACGAATTCAATAAATTTGTGCAGGTGGTTGGTGGGTGCTCTGGTGTGGTCTGCTTTTTCTTTCCAATCAAACATCTATCGTCCTTATCATCCCTTCTTCTTTTTTATGTTTGTTACTCTCTTGTAACACTTCTAATTTTCTGGCGCTCATGTGGCCTTATGCAGTTGCGAGCGCCGTAAAACCTCTACTAAAACAAAAACAATAAATTTGTTTCATTGTATGTGTACTAAAAATTGCGTGTAAAGATTTAAAAGAAGTACTCAACACCTTGCTCAATGTATGCTATATAAGATTGTTCTTACTCACAGTAAAAATGTTCATTCTCTTTGATATGTTACTGTAGAGCTTATTTTACATTCACTAGAGCTTGGAATAAAATCCGAAAATGCATCATGTGATACCGAAAAATACCTTTCAAATGAACATTCATGTGAGTGAGTACACACATCCACACACAAAAATATACGTTCAGCCTGTCCAAGTACAAAATTACACGTTCAATCGACATGCTTACCTAACACATTATGGACAATGTATGCCTAAAAGTTGCTATGAAACAGTTCAGTCCAAATTATTTTTCATATGCCTGTATAATTAAGTTTGCGGCTTGACTCATGTAGCCATCAGCCTTGAGATTGTTCCTGCTCACTCTCTCTTGTCCCCAGGCCTATCTGATTGGGATGGTGTGGTCTTGCTACAAGTACATCCAGCTGTATGTTGCCTCCCGCAGTGTTGTCAGGGAATACTCTGTGGACCCAGACACTGAGGTGAGGGCACTCACAATTACAAAGTTCTTGTGGGTGGTTGGCGGGTACTCTGGTGTGGTTTGCTCCTTCTTTCCTATAAAAAATCTATCGTCTTTATCTCCCCTCCTTCTTTTTAATGTTTGTTACTCTCTTGTAACATTTCTAATCTTCGGCACTTATATGACCTTATTGTGTTGCAAGTGCCGTAAAACTCTTACAGGAACTACAAGAACAAAGTTCTGTCTTTTTCCTTTTTCAGTTACTAAGACCATGAGGCCAGAAACCAAATGTTGTATCTCCTCTATCAAAATTGTAAGATATATTTGGAGTCGTTGTCAAGATATTCCAAGAATTCCATTAGAAAAAGCGTGACATATTGTGGAACTCAAAATTTTTGTTAGTAAAATTTCTCAAAACTGGGTACTGTATAACTGAGCAGATAAAACTTTGTAATTCGGGGGTAGCGTGTTGGCATGCTTATATACCATAGAATGAATAAAGTATTATCTAGTTCAAGGCTTTTGATCTAAATGTTACAAAACTAGCAGACTTTTTTCTTGCTAAGATTTTCATTGGAGGGAGGAAGTCAAAATGTTGATTAAATATTTAGAAAACTTCACGAGAGATGCAACCAAACCTCATTAAACCGCCAACTGTTATTTGGTGGTATAATAGGGTTCTAATGCCGTCTTCTGTTAAATAGCCATAGTTTCCCAACGGCAAGGGAAACGATTCTGCTGTGTTAACTTTGTTGGAAAGTGTCTTTTTGATGATGAATAGCATGTATTTAGAGGGGAGCTTGTTCATTTCTCTCTCTCTCTCTCTCTCTCTCTCTCTCTCTCTCTCTCTCTC